TAGGTCGTGAGTCCTAGGTCCTAGGTCTGTTCCCGGCAGGAAATACCTAAATTCATGGTGCCCGACTTGTTGTCCATGGGAATCCTGGATAAACAATTTTTCCAAGGTATGTTTTGTTGTTTTGCTTCCGTCTTTATTCTGGTTCATGTTGTTCCTTTCTTTCCCTTTTTTCATATTTGTTTCATGTGGGATTCCGGCTTTTATATGTGTCCCCCTTTGGGATTCAGTTTGTTTCCATATTTCTCCTTTGTAATTCATGTTTCACTTTCTCTCTCTCTCTCTCTTTATTTTCCTTGGTCTTTGGATCATGCATCGCTGAGCCCTTGGGCACAAGGACATGCAGAAGTGTTCATACTAAGGCGCTGGCTGACCATCCGCAAGTTTGACATGAAACAAATGAAACTGGTTCTAAAAAAATCTAAAGATGATAGCGCAAGATGAGAAAACCGCATCACAATCAAAATGAAACAAAACGATAAATATGACACGCCCAAGTCTGTGGCTGAGATGTTCTCAAACTTTAGCAAACAAATACATGGCTATGCCGGCGAAGTCCAAGCCCGGAACAAGGGAAAAACATGCAAATCATCGGCAAATAAGACAATAAAATTTACCCGAAACAAGGGAAAACACCAGGAGATTCAACCAAATGTTGGGCATCAAAACAGATTTGACAAAAATATGGGTTCATTGTTCAAGGTGGGTTTGCATGTTGGATTTTGTTGTTTTGTTTGTTTGTGCATTTTCTGTGTTTTGTTTGTAACAGTTTGTCATTTTGGCTTGTCGCGTTTTGCAAGTCCAGCCTTTTGCACATGAGGTGGGCTTGAATTTACGGATAGCTGTATGCTGCAATGGCTGTAGCTGCTGTAGTTTTTGTTTCTTTTGAGTTTGGTCCAGGCCTAGCTGGAACTTGCCCAATCGGATTCGGACTCGAAATTTCAGTCCTATATTTGAGAAATCAAGGCACAGAGCGCACGTCCAATTTTATAGAAGATTGGGGAGGCAAAATAAACCATGCATATCCATTCATGGCACAAAAGAAGGCCGCCATTCCAACCATGGACCACGATTAGTCTTGAAGCTCAATGCGTTCAATGTTTTTCTGTAAATCACGGGGGCAAACCAAACAAAAAAGTGTAAAGGGAAACATGATGGTCCGAAACACATTTGACTGTTTAAGAGACAGGAAGAAAGGACGGAGAGATAGACACATAGACAGAAAGACACACAACCACATGACAGACAGACAGACAGACAGACAGATAGATCGATGGATGGATGGATGGATGGATGGAGAGAAAGACAGAAAGATAGATAGGCAGATAGACAGAAAGATTGATGGAAAGAAAGAAAGATAGATGGATAGGTTGACTAGTTAGATATGGGTAGGTTGACTGCATAGGCTGACTAGATATAGATGGATAGTTTGACTGGATAGGTTGACTAGATAGATAGGCAAGATAGATAGACCAGATAGATACATAGACAGATGCAAAGATGGACAAATACATGGATAGAACGAGCAGACAAACCGGACAAAGAGACCCACCCATAGCAGGACAGGTGGCCCTGTTAGCCATGCTGTCTGCAGCCAGTAGGTCTGCATCCGCTAACCGCTGCATGCGTTGGAGCATCCGGTGAGTCAGTCCGTAGGTCCAGCGGTCGTGCATCCGTTGAGCACTGCATGCACTCCAAAGGCCGACGCTCCAACCACCCGTCGGTCCGTCAGCAGCTTGCTCTGCCGCCCAAACAACTCAACAACCCAACGATTCCTACAGGTTTCCTATCTTTGATACTTCCGCCATTGCCTTGTGCGGCACTGCTGATCACTGATTATCGATATCTTAGATATATCTTGACCATGGGTTACCAAACTTTTGCCACAAGCTCAACCCCACCTATAATCTAAGTGATCTACTTATAATTCAGCTGGCAAACCAGGGGGAAACACCTTGGATGAACTCAACACAGACGAATGCCCGAACTCAGCTGTTACAATCACTTGGTGTCATACGCTTTATTTCCAGTCTTGTCTCCTGTTTCCAACGTTCCTTGAACCCTCTGCGCGCTGGATTCCAAGCGCTACCAAGGGGCCATCATTGCAAGTCGTCCATTAGCCAACTCGGCAGCGAGTTTGGTCTTGCGCGCTTCAGGGTCCTCAACCTTGCCCAAAAAGGTGGGAAATCCGACGCCGTAGTTGCCTGGCTCGCCTGTCTCAGTGGAATCCTTCATGCTGAACTGACCGTCACGAGGGCCGCGTCCATCCGTGGTGGAAGCTGCCTGGAAGAACCCAGTTGTCTCAATCAAACCAGCGAAGGCAATGATCTGGGCACCGCCAAGCACTGGCAGCCTTAGTATATTGTATAGCTCAACATGACAAATCACCTCCAACCATTCTGCTCTTTACATCTGCAGAGATGCTGGAACTCAAAAATTATATGGAAACTCTTCGCGCGCGCGGCTTGCAAGTAAGCACTTGGCTTGGACAACGCTGCAAGGCCATTTGGCACATCGGCAAACTTAAGCCCAAGAGATGGCGAAAGGTATCCTGGGAACTTGTAGTATTCCGGAACGATGTAACCAATGGTTGCATACATGGCCTCAGGCAAATCTGCGTGACATGACTGAAATTGGAAACGCATTGAAACGGGCGCGCGCCACCTTGACGAAATGATCGGCTTTGCACGGCCCCACGCCGTGGAAAATGTTTCCTGTTTCCCTCTTTTTTCACATCCCGTGAATGCTCTTGTCAAAAAACCAAGACCCTGACAATGCGGCCGTGCTTGATCTCCACAGCACGACGGCGCTTGAAGGTTGCCTCATCCTTGTCCGCGCTCAAGCCAAGCGGGTCCCAAAATCCGATAGGATCCTGCACACCAAGTTCCTTCGCAGGGTCGAAGCTGGCATAGCTAGTGGAGTCTCCCCCGAAGAAGTTTCGGGCAATTCTAGGTTCCCTGCCAGCACGGAGAGGGGAGGTAGTGTACAGGCTCCAATCGCCCCAAGCAGAACCGGTCAATCCATCTTGGAAGAACATCCCAATGATCGCCTGAAGGTTTCAACCGAATATCAACATCTGCTCAACATCTTTTCATCATGTGCATCTCAAAAAGGCCTAGGTGAAACAAACAAGGTGGTGCCCCCTAGTTAACTTGAAGTTAGATAGCTTATAAAAGAGTTAGGGAAGTCTATTTACGTAAGTCCTTTTATAATCTTTTATATTGATATTTTATCAAGTAATCCAAGAGTGCGTAAACAAGGATTACGCTAAAGAATCAGAAATGAACATGCGAACGTACATATATGGACTTCAGACTGCGCAATGTGCGCGGTCAAGGTGCGCAATGTGCACGACCAAAGGTGCGCAATGTGATGCAATGTAACGTGCACAACCAAGGTGCGCAATAGAATTGCCAATTGCACAGCAAAGCATGTTCATTTTTAAGGCCATATATTTTGCCATAATATGACCTGAAAAATGCGCACGCACACCCCCAAGGTCGTATTTTGCAAAATATACTTGGCGATGTTTAACTGTGACCAGGTTACCCTGAAAGGCTTTGACTTGGAACTGGGGTTATCAGGCGGGGTTTCCTTTCATGACCTCGCTGTTTTTCTCTTGTGAGGCCGCGGCTGTTTTTAGGTGGCGTCCTGCCAGGTGTGCTTCGTAAGTTTAAGCAAAGCTTTTCGTCATTGTGGTTCACATTGACAATGATTTTATGTGTCTCATGGCCAACTTGCTTCGCTTCTGCTTGTTCACCACTTCCATCCATGAAGTTAAAATTTTAAATGGGAGAACGCCTGCGCATCAGTGCTGCCAAAGTCTTGGACCTGGATGGCTCTGGACAGGGAGGTTGAGCACCCTGGCTGGACTGTTGGCAACAGCTTGGACTATGGGCCCACCTCATTCGACGATGAGGTTCCGGTTTCCACCCAAGTGACCATCGTCTCAAGTGACACGGAATTTTAAATTTATATAAATGGGGTAATTAGATCAAAGTGCCCGACTCCAAGAATGAGGCAGAGCTTCGCCGGCTGAAGGATTGGCGGCCTCCACCAACCAAGACGAGTTGGAGCACGCCGGTCACAATTTAAAGAGGTAATTTCCTTTGCGACCCTGGATGGGACAGCCACTGCGACAAAGTGGCAGACGCCATCATCAGGTTATCCAAAATAAAATAATGTCCGGGGGATCGTCTGACACTGGCGCGCTTAAGCTTGCATGGACTCTTCGTGTCGACGGACACTCGCAGTGTCCACGGACACTTCCGTGTCTACGGACACTTCCGTGTCTACGGACACTTCCGTGTTTCCGGACACTCCGTGTCTGCGGACACTTCATGCCTGCGGGCATTTCGTGTCTGCGGACACTTCTTGCCTCCGGGCACTTCGTCGTGCCTACGGGCACTGTCCGTGTCTAAGGACACTCCGTGTCTACGGACACACTGTCTACGGACACCTGTGTCTGCAGGCGCTTTCCTCACACTGACTGGTTCCTCGGCCATTGCAGACGCGACCAATTGAATTTGACTAGCTCAAAAATGATAAAAATGATATTAAAAGCATGCGTCGCTGTCGGTCGGTCGTCTGTCTGTGCAAGGGTTGGCTACTAACCTGCTGAGACCTGGTCATGGAAGTTTATGTCTTTAATGTAAACTCATCATCGCTGTCTGCAGCCATTTAATTAAATGGGTTCAAAGATATGGGGAAAGGAGTTCAGCCAAAGCCCGGTCTGTTGCCCGGGAGGCTGGTTGTTCAGCACTTGCGTTCTTGTCAAGCCAAGCATGGACGTTGTGGCCTCTGTTTCTTGGGTCAGAAGAAAAAAACTTGGGAGGCAAAGCTTTCGAGCCGCTGGCTATTTGTCACTCTGAAAAACAAAATGGCTCGTCTCGGTTGCACAGTGTGCGCACAAGCTTCCACAGGAGGCCCTTGGGCTAATTTCGACCAAAAGCCTTTGTCTGTGAAGCTGGCGCACTTGAAAAGGCATGAAAGGTCGAAAACACATGTCGCTGCCTTGGCGGCCACAATGGTCCTCGGACCATGCTGCTTTGGCGCCTGACGATTCCTTGTTTCAAGAAGCATTGAAAAAGATGCGTGCTGGGGGAGCGCCAGGGACGGCGGCGGCTGCAGTAATAAGAAGGAACAAGTCAGGTGGTGCCTGGCAGAAGCAACCATGGATGCCGGAAAGTAGGTTTTGGGAGAAGCTCTGTGCGTTGCCTTGACGCGCGACGAGCGGAAAGGGAGGCTATTGATAAGGTGGCGCGCTTGCAAGGCTGACCTTAGCCCTGCGTCTGGAGTCCTTGACTTCAAGCCAGTTGAAGGATATGCAGACAATCTGGCTAATGCTGTCAAGAAGGCAGTGCAAGACTGCGGCAATTCTTGCCTCGTGGGTTGGTTATGGTTCGTTCATGCCAGCCCTCCAGTAGCCTCCCAGCAAGATGTGGAGGCAAACATCAAAAAGACGACCCGCGTCTTTGTCACTGATTCAGCCGCGGCAGAGCTGCTGGTGTCGAATCTCTTATCTGCGGCGCCGTCCCTAATTATGCGGAAAGCTGTGCTGTGGAGACGTATCTCCCAGCACTCAAAGTTATCCAGAGAGACGCGCCTCACGCGTCAACGCGTCTTCTGAAGCGACCATTTGCCGTGTCGAAGGACTTGAATCAAATAATGGAAGAATTTGTTTCGGGCCACGATGCCTTTGGGCAAAAGGTCTTCCATAGTCCGTTGTATGGCGCATGGTGGAAGGACTTGGTCCAAGAAGAGACGGGCGGGCCAACCAGCTTGGCATCTGCAAAGCACAGATTTGCGTCATTCTTTCTGCCTTTGAGCCGGATCTGTGGCAACATGCCGCAAATGGTCAAGCTGTGTCACAAAGTCGCGCGCCCAGCTCCTGGGCAACTTCTCCGGAAGAAAGGCTGCTCTGTTAGCCATGGCAACAGACGCAGCAGCGACATGCTGCGAATTAACCAGGAGCCTGGATGCTGAAGACACAGATATTAGTCTGCTGGGTTCCCAAGTTCAGCAATTCGCTCATTCCATCCAAGCCCTGTTCTATTCGGAACGGGTGGTGGAGTTGCCTACCTTCACTCGGGACGTTTGCAAATCTTTGAGAAATCAGGCGATTCCCATTTTGCATAATGGGATTGCGCGAGAAGTCACCATCACGGACGAAGACATTCGTTCTGCTTTTGCAGTAATGAAAGACTGGGCGACCCTATCCTTGAAAACATTGGAAGCCGAGTTTCCTGCATGGCACCTATACTCACTTGCTTTGATGTATTTCAGCTCGCAGGGACGTCTGCAAGAAAGAAGGAAGGGCAAGGGACAGAGGATGCTTTGGTGAAACTTTCCAAAGTTTTTGAAGTCGACCTCCAAGACTTGAAGACTCAGTACGTCTCGGTTCTGCCAACCGCGCAAGCCATCCAGAAGACCGCTGGGCTGGAGAATCGTCAGGCTTGGGCGGAGGCTCTCACGCTCCTACGGGCTACTTCGGCTTTGAAGAAGAAATATCCTGCAGAAGCCCTGACACAGGTTGTCGCTGCATACGTGGCATTCACAGCTTCAAGCAGTGGTTGTGAGCAAATGTTCAGCGGGTTGAAGAGGAGCCCGGCTGAGTTGGCTAGCTCTCGACTGGACACAGACAAAAGACTGGCCGTTGTCGTTGGGGGTGATGCTCAGTTCGACGGAATGGTTGTCGCCAAAGCTCGCGAGCTGTCGGGTACTTTGCTGCGCTCCGGGCGCGCGCGCTCAACCACCCGCGCTCCGCGAATAGATCGTGGTCGAGCTGGCCTTGAGAGGCCAGACTCTCATCGAGTGTGGCTGCGTAAGCGAAAGGAAGCAGTTGACAAAGCAGCGCAAGAAGACCAAGACTTGTGCACGCCGCACAGACGTCCAGTTTTGGCACTGACAGAAAGTCTTCAAAAGGAAGTCGACAAGCAGGAGGCATTGAGTAAGAAAAGGAAAGCTGAGGCTTTTTTGGAAGGAACCTTGCTGGAAAAGGACGTGACCGACGAAATTCGCATCGCAGCTCAGAAAAAAATTGGTCTAGACCAAGCGAATGACAAACAAAGACACAAGAACTGTGTGCGCATCTTACAAGCTGTGGAGATGACTCAGAAGAAGCAGACGCAAGCTTGGGCCTTGCGTAACTTACCTCAGCCTGCTTTGCTGACCCAGACAGGAAATGAAAAAAACATTTTGCAGCGAGCGCTGAAGCAAGCAGGTGTTTCGACTTTTGTCCAAGACATGCGTGAAGCCAAACTCTTAGTTGTTGACCAAGTGCAGGCCATGACTCGCACACAGCGGCTGCTGTCGGCCGTGATGGGTTGCGTGGTGCTGTCTGCTTCCACATTGCGTGGAGCCGGAGGCGTGAAATTGACTTTCCATGCAGGTGTGGAGAAAAGGGTGCGCTTGTTTTTGACAGATGCTTTCAAACGTGAAAATGCGGCGTTGACCCTCGTTGTCCGGGAGGCAGTTGCCCGGAGACTTGGTTTAACGGCTGTGACTTCTGAGGAAGCCAGAAGGAAGGATGGCTGGAAGTGGGGCTTGACTTTGAAAGGCAATAATGAAAATCTTGGGGCCACAAGTCGGTGCAAGAAAATCTTGCAGCTGACCGGGGACGAGTTTGTCAAATGGGCAACACAATTTTTTTTGCATTCCGGTGCGAGCGCTTGGGTTAAAGGACCTTGAGCGACTGCGCGCAAGCGAGCACAAGGGCGAAAAAATTGGTTTCAAATGGCCAATGTCTCAGTCTTTCGAGGTTTTTACATGTTTTTACACGGTTTAACGACTATAGTCAGTTCTTCCGCAGCCGTTTTCAGATTCAAGCCCACCAAGACGGAGCCATGCCCTCGCCTCCTGGAAATGGAAAGAGGCCGCAATTTCTGGAGCCAAAGCCCATCAGAAAGAGGAATCCCAAGGACTTTTGGTTCTATGTGCAGAAAAAATTACTCACCTCTTGGCGGCCAGAGAAACTTCTCCGGTGCTATCAGACGTTGATGAAGCACAAGTGGGAAACTTGTGGCCTGGCAAGTCAGCTCAAGAAGCAGCTGATCCGCAAGAAAGGTGAGGCGTGGCTCCAAGCGCAGGAGAAAGACGATGACAATGAGTGAGGTTCAATTTAACATGTCAAATACTGTACAGACTACTTAATTCTAGCCGACTGGCTTTATTATGGCTTGTCGTAAAAAAATAATTCAAAGATTGAAAAGCCTGACTTGTGGCTTGACCACAGTCTTGCTGCGGGGAAAAAAACTTAAGCTGCAGTCGCTGGCTGCAGTGAAGTAAACTTTAGTTTTTAATCCTCGCGGCATATTTTGGCTCCCAGCTGTTGTCGCCATGGCAGGTTTACTCAAGGTTCGCAAGGGTCAGATGACCAAGACTAAAAAAGGCCCTCACACACCGCCTCCGCCAGTTGTCACTGAAATCAACCGCTTAGCAGAGACTTGGAAAAAACGGCTCGGTTTCTGGAAGCCTGGCAGCTCAAAGAAAACTTTCGCTCTTGGGTCCGATTGCGCGGGCTACGGCTCGGAGTTGTTGGCCCTGAGGCTTCTGGGCTTGCAAGCCCGCGTGAAGCTATTGATGCTTTGCGAAGCAAGCCCATCCAAAAGAGCTCTCCACAAAGTTATGGTGGATCAGTGTGGGTTCGATGACTCAGAATGCAAGGTCTTCGATGACATTTTTCGTCGTCGCAACGACGACGAAGAGACGCCTGTTGTCGACCTTTATGTCACAGGATACCCTTGCCCTGCTTTTAGTCGAATCGGAAAGCGCCAGGGCTGCGGTGAAAAACATGGGGTCATCACCCTGCAGGGTCACTACGTGGCTTCAAAACGCCCACGGGCGCTGCTCCTCGAGCAAGTATCTGCGTTGGTGGACAAGACGCATGCATCGCCATCTGTGGCAATTTCTATTAAAGATTTTGCGGCTCTTGGAGTACGAAGTTGTGTATTCCAAGTTAAATACCAGGCACATGGGTATTCCGCAAAAGCCGTGAGCGGTTGTACGCCTTGGCCGTTTGCCGAGAGTCTTTACGGAACAAGTTGACAGTGCCAGATACAAGAAGCAGCCACCCCGACCTACATACTTTTCTGGACAAGGACATCGTGGGTTCGGAGGTGTTGACGCTGCCTAAATACGAGCAGATTCTCGGTCAAGACCTGTGGACCAGAGGCTATGTCCTAGACGTGGCAGCGCCTGAAAGGTCTCAGAGTGTCTTGCACAACGCATGTCCATGCCTGACAAAGACTCGCTGCAAGCAGGACGGATATTACTGTCCAGAGCTTCGCCGATGACTCAATTCAATGGAAATCGGGAGGCTATACCCAAGACTATCATCACAGCGATGCTTCGGGAAAGCAACAACTTGTCGCTTCCGAAGCGCTCATTCGAAGAGGCCGTCGGGGACGCCATGAGCGTCAATGTGCTGCAAACAATGCTGAGACGGTTAGTCCACTCGGCAGGGTTAGCAATACTAACGCCGTCACACGACTGGTGGCTGCTTTGTCCATCAGACAGATGCTACCAGCTGAGTGACAACTTGTGGGCGAAGCACACTGAGAAGAACATTACTTAAATTAGCGACCACTGCTGCAATGTGAGTGAGAAAATTGCTCAGGGTCCCAGGGGTTAAACGTCGGTTAAACGTCGTGGGGCCTTACCCGGCTCTGCCCCGGTACAGTCGAGGGCTGAAGTCAGAGCAATGTTCTTGACTGTTGATAAACCGCTTGCGGAAAAGTCGCCACGACCGGGTCACAGCAGGGTCACAGCAATCCATCAAAACACAAGGGGATTGCCTTCATTTGAAGGATACAAAATACCAGCATAACAAACATGAGAGAGCCCACCCCTCGCACTGCAGACTACTCTTCTGCCAGCACTACTTTGCATTACAAACAATCATTCTGCCAGAATGGTTTGATTTGAGAAGGAGTAAGACGGAGTGAACAACGGAAAAAATAACTAGACTACTAGACGACGGATGGCCCGAGAGCGTAGAGGAGCAGGGTCTTCTCTTGTTAGTAGGGAGACACCATGTTACAAAACAATATACCAGTAGTACCGCACAAGGCGGTGGCGGAAGTTTCAAAAATAGGAAACCTATAGGAGAGATTGGTTGTTGTGAATCAGGGATCGCAGAGCGAAGCCACTGATGGACCGAAAGGTGCTTGAGGTCTCCTGACTTTCTCTCTCTTTCTGTCTCTTTCTCTGACTATCTACCCTGTCTATCTGTGGTGCAGTATCATTCAGTGTAATTAATGTAGTGTAGTGTAATGTAGTGTGGTGTAGTGGAGTGTAGTGGAATGTAGTGTAGTGTAGTGTAATGTAGTGTAGTGTAATTTAGTGTAGTGGAGTGTAGTGTAGTGTAATGTAGTGAAGTGTAGTGGAAGGTAGTGTAGTGTAGTGTAATGTAGTGTAGTGGGGTGTAGTGTAGTGTAATGTAATGTAGTGTAGTGTAATTTAGTGTAGTGGAGTGTAGTGGAGTGTAGTTGTGTAGTTGTAGTGTAGTGGAGTGTAGTGTAGTGTAATGTAGTGAAGTGTAGTGGAAGGTAGTGTAGTGTAGTGTAATGTAGTGTAGTGGAGTGTAGTGGAGTGCAATGTAGTGTAGTGTAGTGTAATTTAGTGTAGTGGGGTGTTGTGGAGTGTAGTATAGTGTAGTGTAATGTAGTGTAGTGTAGTGTAATTTAGTGTAGTGGAGTGTAGTGGAGTGTAGT